GTCCCTCAAACTGGCCACCCACTAGGGTGCCCTGCTAAGGTTAGATTTCCAGGTGATCTTCTCTGATGCTAGGTAACCTTGAAGCTGCTCATCTTTCTTGATTTCTTTCAACAACTTCACGGCTCCCACAAAGGTCTGTCCGTTATCTGAGAATATCTTTGAAGGTCAGCCACGTCTAGGGCTACATATAGTTCACGTTCAATGTCATCCACACACTCAGGGTGGTCAGCTCGACAGTGGTTAAGGTGCTGTTTGATGACTCCCCCAAGGAGGAAAGGCAAGGGTCCCAGACCAAAGAGGGCCCTAGTGATTCTGTACGTGTGAATTCGTAAAGGCTCTTCCTTGTCTATCCAGTGAAACTGGAAGGCCTTACGGATGACGCCACTGAGGGCAACAGCATGAAAACTGTCTCACAAAAGTACTTTCCATAGTTGATTTTGTAGTGGTGGTCCAACTTCAAGGCAGTCGTTTAAGGAAGGTGCTGAGTCATACGCTTTTGCCGAAGCGTCATACATGATTCGCATCTTCGTGGTTTGGGCGCTCTCACTGACAACACCTTTGTTGGGGATGTAGATCTCTCGCCCAGTCGCAGCCAGTGGTACTTCTTCTATAATTCCTTCTTGAAGTTGTTCTTTATTGATACCATCGTAGTCGTCTAGTTGTCCAGCCTTCTCCAGTCATTTCACTAGACTTTCAAGTTGCTTCATGCTCCCTGACTTGTTCGATGGTAAGGGGGGATGATCTCCCTTCCAGGGAAGGCCTGTCATACCATCCTTCAGAGCTGCGCGTGAAACATGCTGTCGAAGTCTGCTTCTGACCCAGGTGACTTAATAGCCCAGCCAAAACGGGTATATTCAGCGACAGGCTCTCCTATGGCTCCAGTGCGCTGTGCTTCTCGAGTTTTTCACTTTGCGTAGTCACTTGCTCCCAGAATCACATGAATAGGAAGTAGACTCTTTCTGTCAGTATTCTCCGTTTTTACTTACCCCCTTCAGATGCTGGTACCTGTGGATCACTTCCATGCAGTTGGGGTTTTGCACAGATAACAGTTCAGCACACTCTACTCTCGTAACATTCAATGGCATGGTGCAGTTTCTGTTAGTATCACTCATGTGGACATCATAGAGCTCGTTTCGTATAGTTCCAACGCCCATGATAGTTTAGATACGTCGTGTGAGAGAACGTGTGGGTACTAGTTTCAGTAGGTTCAGCAAGTAACCTGAAGCATACGAGACTGACGCGCTGGTGTCAAGAAGAGCTCGGCAGGTTATGCCATTCACTTTTACGAAGACAACAAGGTGGCATACTTTATCCCCGTCTAGAGACGCTGTTAGAGCCACTCCCCCATGGTTGGTTTGCTGCCCTCCTCCCTCTACTTTATCACAAATTGATGAGTGGTGTCTTTGTTTAAAGTGAACACATGTCCAATGACTACGGCATTGAGGTGCACGGTGTTTGGATCCTGTGCAGTTAAAACACAGCTTCTTGTTCTGCAAAATCCGTCAGCGGTTTGTTGGCCATGTGATTTTATTGCATTCCCAAGATCCGTGTGTCACGCAATCACAATAGGCATATGTTTGCCGTGGTGGATCTTTCTCTTGCGAGTAAAAAGTTTTGGCACGAGGAAGACGTAAGGGCGGAGATGTATTTTTTTGGACCATTTCTAGAGGATGAAATTTCTCTATGGAGGATTAGGACATTTTCCATGGAAATTCCATGGAAGATGAGGACACCAATTTCCATGGAAATTTCTCCATCGATATTTTTCATGGAGGATTAGGACATTTTCCATGGTATTCCATGTAAAAGTTCCAAGCAACTCCATAGAAGCTACTCTATCGATTATTCCATGGATCTCCATGGGAAAAAAACCGCAACAGATCATAACTATTATGAATTATATTTTCGATTTGCAGCAGACCACAGCGATATCTGTGTAAACAAAAGAGATAGAAACTACATCGATAAAAGCAAAGTAGCACCCGAAACATACACCCTTCTAATCTAATAGAGACAATCGAGCCACGTACGATCTCAATTCTCTGAAACCAAACATGAGTTTTTCCACATGTTAAGCTTACCTTCCTCTTTAATGCGTGATCCAGCTGAGTCGAGCAGTCGATTTTGAAACAAGCCCAATGTAAGCAACCTCAGAAGTGAATATTTTGTGTTGAAAAGAACATCTTTATCGGGTGCATTCATTATAAAGACAATTTGTTTGCACACCACTGTTGTACTGCACAGAAGTCCGCTTAAAGATTTAAACCAAGAAAACTGATCTTCTACACATTTGTATTGGTTCAAAAGCCCCACATGATCGCGTTAGTCACTAAGGGGAGAGGCCTGGAAGCCAGTTCAAGCACCAAAGATTGCCGACTTTCATATCGTGAGGGACTGGGAACAAGTCCTGAGCCCGCCGGACAAATTGTATGGTGCTTCCTTGGAATCCTTTGAAAAGTTCAAAAAACTATTTCCCTTACCTACTTTCTCTAGATTTTTGACCGTTATAAATGAGATTTAAACACACCAATGGTAAACATCTATGGAAGAAAACAGTTCTAAAGGTCCTCCTCCTACTGATGAAAATGCTGGTGCGAAAAAACACTGCGGAAATAGAGATGGAATTGAAGGATTTTGGCTTCCATCAAGAAAAAAGTAAGCTTACAAAGAAAAAAGAAATGGAATTAGCGGATCTAATGAACGTTGATTTAACTGCATGGAAAACTGAAGACCTGACAGCTTTGTTGCTAAATTTAAAATTGAAAGCAACTGGAACTAATCCAGATTTTCAGGGTCAAATATTTGATTCCTAAGTTTCATTTGGCCCTACTGGAGTTTTCAAAATATTTACAACATGTACAAACACCTTGAAACAATATCCAAGGATATCTATTCTCATCATTGGCCAACAGCTGTTTAATATGGTCCAGTCCCGTATGCGGCCAATGTAGTTCTCATTGTATATTCTTAACATGGCAATGTCAAAATTCCTACTCATGTCTATCTGCTCATATTGAGGATCAAACTTCATTGGGGGCCGATTGTGTAAAATGCCCTTTTTAAGACACAGGTCTGCAATGTCAAAACCCTTGCCTTTTAGAACTAGTTTCCCTTTCTTAATCTTGTCCAGAACCCCACAGTGCTCAGTGATGTCTTGATCTGGTATTGTCCCTGGGAAAGTCTCACTGCAGCAGAGAAGACCACCGTGAGGGTAAACCCACACTGCTGTCTCACAGTAGTGTGGTTCTTTGTAGTTGCTGAATGTTATATTATTAACATCGAAATTTTCGGACTGTGAACTCCAAGTCTCAGTAGCATCTGTCATAGCTTCAGTCTCAGCAAAGCCTGCATCGTTAAATACTTTTGGCATAAGTGCTTCCACAAATGCTGGTAAAGGGGTCAGGTCAAGACACTCAAAAAGTGTAGACAAAAATACTGCCCATGCCACAAAAACTCTTGAAACAGTAGCCTTGCTACTCTGTGTTATCCATACCATCACCTTGAGATGGAGGAAATGTCTACAAACCCTCAGGAAAGTCATCAACTCTGTCCTTAAGTCCATCTTCCTATTCTTTGTTACTAATCCCCCAGATGTGCAATTTGGGTACTACACAGACTCAAACTCATTTGTAGACAGTCCAATTGTCAGAAACTGGATAATAGGCATGAGGCTACAATCGGCGACAAAATGAGTTGAGACACTTCGCCCAAAACTGGGCTTTTTTACGTTTTATTAACTTCAAAAGGAGGAAGTATTGCTTTCCTCCCCCATCCCCTCCGTGCAGTGTTGTGCCCTTGTTCTAGCTACATGTAGAAAACAACAAACACCCCAACTTTGAATGGAGGGGACAGGGGAGGGGTGCAGATTCTTTAGTTCTCCGAAGTTACCCTATTTAAGTACAATGTCTCAACAATTTTGTTGCTGATTGTCTGAATCTCAAAAGTGGCTGTACGTCCTTTAGAAAGTTAATAGACTTTATTTCTTTATACTGTGATGTAAGACGCCCGATGGCTTTTTATTTGTTGTGTTCGACTTCATCATACCTATTTTAGAACAATTAGAATAAGGTGATTTCGTTATTTTCAGTGCGTGACATTTCGTGTCACCCTTAACCGTGCCTTGACATCGTGCAATGTGGCGCGTTGCACACAATTTCTTATTCTCTCCTTTATCGAAGCGCATCGAAACAAAGAAAAAAGTGAAAAGGATAGAAAACTTAATAGATTTCTAGGCATTAAAGTAGTTGTAATGGCTAAAATTGCTCTTTAGGAGGATTTTCCACGAGTAACCACGAGTAACCACGATGAGTATAAAATATAATAATCTGATTATCTTTTAAGAACAAAGTTGGTTACTCGTGGGTACTCGTGGCCAGTCTCCTCCTGACCTTTCTACTGTAAAGTACATTCTTTAAAGACCCTTATGGGTATATGGGCAACGAATCTGCTGCACAGATTTAGCGATGCTATGCAGCTTTGCTGTGCGTTAGAAGTTGGAACATTTTTCCTGAGAATTCTCCTGCGCAAAGCAATCGTGGATATTTTGTCTCAAAAATTTTGTCGCCGATGGTATAAGTGCGTGACGCGTACATCGGTAATTGATTCACTCGTTTGATCTTATTTTAATTGAACTGTCAAGTTTCTAAATACCTTTCGTTGTGTCGCATTATTTTCCATCAAAATCCATCCTGATTATATTTCTGTCAACATCTGTCATATTTTAGCCAATCAGTTTTGTTCAAGTTGGTTTGTTTTCCGTAACAGCAGGATACTCTGTAAGATGATTTTGTATTCGTGACTTTTCGGTACTCACAAAGTAGGTTACTAAAAATTTGTTTTTAAAAAAATCTAGTCGTGAAAGCTGTGAGAGTGTGGGCTTCTAATTCCTATTCGCCACATTAGTGTCACCTCCGATGGGACCAAATAATCTACAACTACTACAAATACACGAAAATGGAGGCAATCGAAGCAAAACTAGACTGAATACTCCCACACAAAGAAGCTTTGGCGAAGATTATAGTCTGTGTAGAAGATCTAAAGGTTCAAATGGAAAAGGCTAAGCTAGAGGCCAGTGATAGCGTACTCAGGCCACTTAAGGCATGACTACCTAATTAAATATGCATATTTTAGTAAATGCTTTTTAGAATGGTTTGCTTCCATCAGTGCTCCTGAAAAGTGAACTACAAATGTGGGTGAATGAAAAAAACACTTGAAATGTGATTTTAAATAACACGTGACATTGCTTCATAAATGGCGTCACAAAACACGTTTTCCTAAATGGGGAAGGGTTGCAAACCTTAATCTTAGGATTTTCCACTACCAAAATGTTACATAAACAGTGTAAATCGTAAATTCGCCTTTTATGATTGGAAATGTTATTTATATTAGCTATTTAACTAATAAGTCACGTGACCCTTTTACCTTTATTTACCGGTTCCTATATAACGTAAACACACATACAAGGCCAGTACATAAGAACCTTTTCAATAGCCTCTGAAATGTACCTAAAAAAACTTGTTGCTCTTTCATTATCCTTTCCCCATTTTAGAGTAAATATTTTGACCGTTAATTCTCAATTATCAGTCACGTGACGAAAATTTGAGCTTCTAAAATGCACTCATATTGCTAAGGCCATTAAGCTACATTTGTAGTTCAATTTTCAGGATCATTGATAGAAGCAAACCCTTTTAAATTTTCTCAAAATATGTATATTTAATTAGATAGTCATGCCCTTAAGTGGCCTGAGTAGAAGATGTACAGAAATGGGAAGGCAATCTTGAAAATGTTATCGACGAGGCAGATGAACAAGTAGCTTATCTGGGACGTTGCCTAGACAAAGTGGCTAAGAGTAAGGAGTGCAAGAAACGAGAGGAAGAAGAATTTCTGCTCGCTAAAAAAACGGAAAGAAGAGCTTCAATTTGAAAAGAAAAAGGTGGAGCAGATTTCGAAACAGAAAGTAGCAGACCATGCCACTGCAAAGCAAGCCAAAGAAAGGCACGTGAAGTTGCCCAAGTTAGTGATCACGAAATACAACGGAAAATATGACATGACTTTCTTTCTGAAACAAATTCCAAGTGCAAATCGATTTAACGGATCTATCAGCTATAACCAAGTTTTCTTAAATGAAAAAGCTGCCAGCGCCCCATGTCTGTGAAGCAATTGATGGTCTTCCGTTCACCACAGATGGATATGAGCGAGTGAAAAATATATTGAAAATGAATTACAGGAAAGAGTGAAATTGTAAGAGTATATATGGATAACATCAATGCCCTTCCGACGGTTTACGGATCCCAACGAAGCAAGATTCACCAGTTCTGCCAAAATTTGAATTATAATGTGTAGTCCATGGAAACACTGGGCAAGGTGTTGGATTGTTGAACTATGGTTCAGAGTGTTCTTGACAAGTTGCCCAGTATTAACGCCGAACTAGTGAGCAACAAAATGGGGTGGCAAGACTGGGGATTTGGAGAACTACTACAGGCTTCAGAAGAATGGAGGGAAATTTATCCTCTAGAAATGGTCCAAAAAAAATACATCTCCGTCCTTACGTCTTTCTCGTGTCAAAACTTTTCACTCGCAAGAAAAAGATCCACCGCGGCAAACGTATGTCTATTGTGATTGCGTGACACATAGATCTTGGGAATGCAATAAAATCACATGACCAACCAGCCGCTGACGGATTTTGCGGAACAAGAAGCTGTGTTTTAACTGCACAGGATCCAAACACTATGCACCTCAATGCCGCAGTCATGGGAAATGTGTTCACTTTAGACAAAGACACCATTCATCAATTTGTGATAAAGTAGAGGGAAGAGGTCAGCAAACCAACCGCGGGGGAGTGGCTCTAACAGCATCTCTAGAGGGGAGAAAGTATGCCACCCTGTTATCTTAGTAAACGTGAATGGCATAACCTGCCGAGCTCTTCTTGACACCGGTGCATCAGTCTCATATGCTTCAGGTTACTTGCTGAACCTACTGAAACTAGTACTCGCACGTTCGCTCACACGACGTATCTAAACTATCATGGGCGTTGGAACTATACGAAACAAGCCCTATAATGTCAACATGAGTGATACTAACAGAAACCACACCATTCCATTGAACGTTACGAGAGTACCCTTACCAAACCAATAATATGGGCCATATATGGACCAAAGCTGGAAATTATCTGGAAAGAAATATGGGCCATTTATGGAAATTGTATGGGAATTATATGGCCAGGTTAAACCCATGTTTACTAATTTTCTGACTTTGTTATACTCAGAAAATATGGAATTAATAAGTTTTTGGACCATTTCCAGATATTTCCCACATATGGAGAAACTATGGAGAAAAAACTAAAGACAGTCAGTGTTGCACTATTTCCAAATATTGGCCATATATGGAGAAAATGTGGAAAACAGTCAGTGTTGGACAATTTTTCAGATATTGGCCATATATGGAGAAAATGTCAAAGGAAACTGCAAACAAGCAGTACTAGACCATTCAACCATACGTGGAAAAAATATGACTACCGCATAAATTTTGCCATGCAATTTGTGACTTCAGTTTAAGCATTGGTGGTGTAAATTCAGACCACCATGTAAACTCTGTGTTTGATGGCTGGTGACTGCAGCGAGCACTTCAGGAATATGTAGGGATTTAACCTTAATATTCTTTACAGCTTAGAAATACACTCAGGACATGACCACACACTATTGCAACAATTAATCACAATTATTTTTATTGTATATCAGTCTATATCAGTTGCTAATACACAAGGTTCGACTGTATACAATCTTATAAAACAACATAAATTGCATGCATGCAGTTGGCAACATATGTCCTCATCAAAAGACGACCCTTGGAACGAGGCTTAGAATACTCATGCAGTGAACATGCAAGTACATGTACTTTTGTGAAATTTTTCAACACTTAATATTAATGCCTAAGGGTCTAAATACCTAAAGAACAGTATCATTCAAAATTTGTCACTCTCTAATGAAACTAATCAACCCAGGCTGCCAAAAACTATACATAAAATACCATACAAAATACAAAATATTCATACAAAATGATGCAAAATTTTTGGGGTGACAAACATTAAAGAACATTATGGCATTTTTCTGTAGTGGTCAATTAGCTGAGTTAGCTGACAATGTTTCTTTTTGGCCTCCGAGCTTCGGGGCATTTCGGATTTAATTTTTATGTTTTATGTGCCACAGTTGGTGGAGGCTGGAATCGTGCACAAACTTTCCCTGTAAGATATAATACATACAACAAAAACATTAATATTCATTGTTTTTTTTGGTTTTCAAGGTCAGACTCTTGGGAGTGAAAAAGTTGAAATTAGAATCCCCATTAGCAATTTTACAGGAAGATTGCAGATTGAGATAAAGTAGATTGAGCATAAACCTCCGTGCTGTTCTTAACAAAAATACTTTAAAAAGTACTTACCAATAATAGTATCCACAATAGGTTGACAGGGGAGAACAGTGTTCTCTAATTTTTTCCCCTTCTTCTTCCCTCTTGCACATGACATCTTGAGCACTTCTTTTGAGAAGAATACATCAACAACCGTATTAACGTACTCCTTTCATTTTGTTGGGCTGAACAAATAGCACGTTGGCTTGAGTACCAGTAAACACCACTGCCCTCAAAGAACTCTTTCATCTGCCAAAAAAGTATTATTAAAAGAGTTGCAGCAAATGATCCAATATATATGTTGAAATTTGCACTAACATCTGAATCACACAGCTGCATGTGACTTGAAAGCAATCACATTTAAATTAAAAGCAAAAGCACCCTTTAATGTTATTGGACTGCCATTAGGAGAATTATTAATTGTTACTGATTCTAGCAATCAATCAATACAATATGTTAAAAGGTAATTAGACTAAAAAAAGTACTTGATACTCAGCAGCAAGTTCACGGTCAACAATGCCTGCAGCTGGCTTCCCTGCGATTATTGAGGTTGGTGACTTGACTTTTACTGCAAGATCAATATTTAAAGATGACATTTTTGTTAGAAAATATGACAGCTGGATACATCTTCTATTTAATCTGAAATCAAAATAATAAAACAATCACCAACTTGTTAGCAGCAAGTTAATTATACTTGTGTAGCAGTGCTTCGTCTATATAAGGGCAATAATGTTTGATTGTCATGTCTACTTTATTCAGTAATATTATTAATAACAAATAAATGACATTTTTGACATGTGCTGGGTATTAAGTTTGCTTAGAGCAATCAAAAAAGATGGAGAATTGATGATAACATGGTCAAAAACTATTTTTGTGGCTGCATGGGTGCTAATCAGCATCTCAGCTGGTGTACATTAATGTGCCTGATTGTGCAGTCCTGAGAAAAGCCAAAACTTGTTTCTTTTAAAAACTTCTTTGTTTAATTATGCTCAAGGTACAAATAAATTATACGCACTTAACCATTTAAGGCCAACACGTTTTCCTCCCCCACTATGATTATTGTTTATTGTCTTGTTGGCAATTAACTTATTGATGTACATTACATTTAAACAGCTGATAATATTCTTTATTAAACTCGACCTTTACCTGCAATGTCAAGCCTATTCTGTAGTTTCCTTATTTTATTTCTGAGGCTTTTGTTCTCTAGCAGCAATGCTTTACAATCCAAGTTGTCACAGGAAGTCGTGATCAGAGCTTTATAACTGTCACCATCATCATCACTTACAACATGTGTAGTGACCAGCTGTTTTCTTGCTGGTTGTTTGCTGGAAGCATCGGGTACAGTTGGAGAGTCAGCAGTGCAGGACTTTCTAGTTTTATTCTTAGGTCCCTGTGGTGTTTTGTGCTTTCTTTTTGCAGCTTGTTTCTGGCTTGATGTAGACGTGGGATCACCATTGCACAGGCTCTGTTTCCTGAAAGCCGGGAGGCTAAGAGGATGGACGTTGTCACCTTCTTGAATTTCAGTATGATAACTTTGCCTAGTAGTTTCTTGAGGTGTTTTTTGCCTCTTATAATTTACAGATCGTTCCTGGCTTGATGTAGAAGCGGGATGAGCTGTGCTTAAGCTCTGTTTCCTGAAAGCTGGCAAGCTAAGGGGATGGACATCATCATGAATTTCAGTATATAAACTGTGATGATGTGGTTCATCCTGTTGGCTATGAGAAGAACTCCTAGGTGCTTGAATTGTTGTTTGCTTTCTGTTTACAGGTTGTTCCTGGCTTGATGTGGAAGCAGGATTAACTACGCTGGACATTGTCTTCCTGAAGAGGTTCTACAGAAGAAGGCTGATGATTAACATCTTTTTATGTTGGGAAGAAATTCTCTTAGTGGCTTGTGCAATTCTTGCAGCGATTTCTGCATTCCTTCTTTTTTCAGCCTCTGCTTTTTCCGCCTCCTTTGCTTTCTTGGCAGCTTCTTTTTTTGCCTTTTCTTCATCTTTTGCAGTGGGCTTCTTTGGTACTGCTTGTTTCTGTGATGATTTGTTTTTGTTCTTTATAGACTGTTGTGGATCACTGTTGAATATTGCTTTCCCCACTGCGCTTTTCCTTAAACTCGTTTCAAGAGCTCTCTTTTCTTTAAGAAGTTCACTCTTATCATCTTCAAAACAAAAAGCGAAAAGGTAAGCTTTTGTTTAAATAAGAGAACGTGCTTGTCTTTGGTTACCTTATTTCGATAATAGAGATTATCATGAACATTTACGTATTCCACTATTTAAACTTTTTTCATTTTAGGTTAATGGCTTTAAAGCTCCTAGCTCATTGTTTAGGCTACCAAGTTTTAACATACCAGGTGGTGTCAGCATTGATTATATGCATGGTGTCTGCCTTGGTGTGGTCAAGACTCTTGTTGGCCTTTGGTTTGACTCCTCCAACAGTAGCAGAAAGTGATACTGTGGACAACTTGTGCATCAAGTAGACTCTCGCTTACTGCAGATTAATCCTCCAAGTGTCATAACTTGGGTACTTAGAAGCATTGAGTCACATCGCAAGCACTGGAAAGGCAAGTGCAATATTCGGGGCTTTTAACACAGTTATTTTGGCAAAACATAACAATTTTTTATTTACAGCATCCACAATCTTGTATGCCCAAATTTATAATAAACCCTAGGGTTTATTTTGTTTCCATCACATCTCTTTACCAGATACAAAAATGTTGGTTTTATTAACTGGGTAGAAAAAGGAAATTGGCCACCATCAAAGTTTTTGTGATACTGGTGTTTGGAAGTACTTTCACTTTCTTCTTTCACCCCAATCTTCTTAGCATTACTATTGCCAAAAAGTTTGTTATAAATTATAACAAACTGTGTGTTACATCATCACTGCCATTACATGACCAATATTCTTTGTTGCAGCTACAGAATACAGGAGTTGGCTTCTCTTTTATTCCCTCTCTTGTATGAAAGGAATACTGTCTGATGAGCTTTTCGATCACTATGCTCTGCTGGTTAGAGGAATTTACCTTCTCTGTCAAGAGTCAATTTCCCAAGCTGATCTAAGGAAAGCAGAAATACTCTTGGCACACTTTGTTGAAATATTTGATGTCTTTTATGGTATGTTTCAGAGTTAAGTACTTAGTGACACTCTAAAGTACAATTTTGCAGCAAGAATGCAAAACTACCACTGAAGTTTCTACAGAAGAAAGGAAAATCACTGGCAGTTGTTCTTGCACATGAAGATGCACACGTCACCTTTAACACATATATGCAACAGTAAAAGTGAACTTTCTACTTCATTTAATACTGGCACTTAAATCCCCTACCACAGCAGTATCTTAATATTTATTGCTTTCATGCCGTAAAAAGGGGTTTCTTATAGGGATTTGACGGTTGTGAAAAAAATATTTATAAAAAGGAAAATATCTGGTTGAAATAATAATAATGATAACAAAAATAATGAAAATAACAATAGTTATAATAATTATAATAATAAAACAGCAAAAATGAGATTATGAAGTTGTGCTTTTAAGAGCGATTCGGTTTTGATAGTTATTGTTTATTGTTGTCTAGCTCCAAGGCATCTGGTGTTAAATGTGCAGAACTTGCTGCATTTGGTTAAGATGTAAAATCAAATGGCCCACTGTGGTGCAACTCCTTGTTTATGTTTGAAGATTGGAATGGGGACATAGCAGATTATTTTCATGGAACACAGAATATACCCAACCAGGTAAAGTCTTTTAAATAAGATAAATTGTACATGTTTTTGTTTGGTTCTTAGTGTTGTAACTAAAAAGGGGAAAGAATCAATTATCAGGGAATATGACATTCTCATTAACAAAAAATTTGTTCTTATAATAATAGTTATTATCTGTGTTAACTTTCTTTGAATTTAACATTTGAAATAGTGTTTTTTTTCCAAGGATTATCTTTTTTTTTCCCATTTACAGATCATGAGCGCTGTTTCATGTAGACAAAACATGCCAGAGTTGATTGCAAAAATACCAGATGGACAGGCCAAAGACCTTGCATTAAAGCTGAGAAATGGGAGTGAAAGGTGTGTGATACGGGAAAAGTCTACTGTTTTCTCACTTGCTCATTGGTATCCTTTTACTTTTTATGTGGGAAATTGTAGGATGTACACAAAAATTAATACATTCCTTGCAAATTGCTTGCATACTTATACGTAAATTATGACCTAACACCATAAAATGTTCAAAACTTTGCAGTGAAACCACTTGCCTGCGGCCAGTGGTTTCACGCGAGTTTGGGTTTTGAACATTTTCTGATGTCATTTCTTTGGTCTACAGGAGTGTAGACCATGGAAAATTGTGGTCAAATTGTTAAGTACCTAGATCATAAACACATACAAAATTAATATTGTTATAGAATTATTCATGATGGCCTTTATCTAGCCAAGTATGAGATGTCTTAAAGAGAATGTTGAAACTAAGCTAGGATGTTCTTTGTGTCGTAGAGAGAACCGAATTCCTATTGGAGAAACCATAAACATTGTTGGTGCATTGAAGAATGATGTACTGAGGGCAGAATTAGAAGATGATGTTGTGTCAGGAATGGAGGTGGATTCATTAAATGAAGTCAAATTCTTTACTAGGGTTCAAATAAGAGGAAGAATTATCCACTCTCGAGTTTACACGTGTTTCTGTGAGAAACTCCTACACAGTTTCGTACAAAGATGGCAACCAAATTAAGTATGGGCAAGTTGAAGTGTTTGTGCATCCAGTCCTCCCAACAACTCAGTCAAGCATGAAGCAGTGGTTCTGCCATTTCAGGAACAAACAGGTTTTATTTGTCAAGAACATGAGGTGTTGGGTGTTTGCCCTGTAACACACATTGTTGGTTTGTATCCACCTGTAAATGACCAATGTATTTTAATTCCTATTGACAACATTAAAGACTTGTGCATTTGCATGGAGATAAGAGACACTGGATTAGTTTACATAACTCACTTCCCAAATAAAATTGAAAAAGATTAAGGTGAAGGACCATTAATTTGGCTCGCAATTTTTGGAAATTTTCTCTGGCTGATCACTACTTGAAACACTAAGGTAGAATTGAATAAACCTACCAGCTCTTGTATGATATGATGGTTTCTTTTATTACTAGACTACCACACATTTCAATACTCTAGCTGTATGCACAGATTCACATGGTACATGAATGGTGTTCAATGGCTAGTGCTAGAAAAGTAGAGCAGAGCTAAAAGATAACGTTATTATGTAACTTCTTACTTAGTGCAAATTTTTTTTATTTTTTCTCTGCATTACGTTTGTCACAATTTCATTCTACTTTAAAAGAAAATGGAATAATGGAACTTATGGTGAATAGTGGATTGATCAGGTGAAGACTGTGCAGTAAATTAATACTAACTGTATAACAAAATCACAATGTTTAAGCTGAGGCTTTCTGTATGTTTGAGAGAATGTGGATTTTGTCCTTTTTTTAGCACTTATTTATTGTTATGAATGTGCTCTTGCATGGCTAGAGTAGTTCAGCATGCAACGGAAAATCCAGCAAAATCTTAATCCCAACTTAATCCCTTATATGGGATTAATAGGGATGGCAGGTGATATTGCAAATGTATAAGGTCTAATTTACATTTATGATACATCTGCCACATAAATTCCATGTATGGTAAAGCTATGGTTATTGACCACATCATTTCCATATTACCATGATCTAACTAAAAATTAGAGATAATGTGGTGATTATATGGTTAATCTCCTAACCATATTATTCCCACATTAATGACAACTTGGAATTTGGCTCCATATAAAGACCATATGTGAAGTTATGTGAGTTGCACCGCCAGTTATAAAATCCATATTTTGATTTAATAAACCCAGTTACCGTCCATATATGGGCCATATATAGCCCTCATTTTCCCCACATTATTACCGTATTATTGGTTTGGTAAGGGTAGAGTGCGCTGAACTGTTGTCTGTGCAAAACCCAACTGCACGGAAATGATCCACAGGTACCAGCATCTGAAGGGAGTAAAAATGGAGAATGCCAACAGAAAGAGTCTACTTCCTATTCATGTGATTCTGGGAGCAACTGACTACACAAAGTGAAAAACTCGAGAAGCACAGTGCGCTGGAGCCATAGGAGAGCCTGTCGCCGAATATACCCATTTTCGCTGGGCTATTATGTCACCTAGGTCAGAAGCAGACTTCGACAACATGTTTCTTGTGCAAACACCGTCCAGTGACTATGAACAGCTGTACGGGATGAACGTCATTGGACTTGAAGACTCCCCTAATGGAGACCAGAATGTCGTCTATGCTGAATTCCTCAAACAGCTCATGTGCAGTCCTGAGAGTGAGCGCAAACCGTTACTCACAGGACAATCGGTTAATCCCACGTTAAGACAGCAAATTCTTGACGCACTTTAAGAACTTTCCCTACAATAATGATGCTCACAATGATAAGGATGTAAACAGAGTTTATTGAAGCGAGGCAATGAGACGTTAACAATGTTGAAAAGAAGTGATGTGAAGCAAAGCGATGACTAGGCAGTGTAAACGAAGAAAACGATGTACAAAGCAGTTTCGAAAAAAAAGAAATAAATACAGCGAAAACTATAGTTAGATTAACTAGAAACTACCTTAAAACTAGGAAACCAAACTTTGGATTTCATTAATATGATGCTAAAAAAGGCTTTATAAAACATATCATATCATGCACAAAGTGAAAAGACTTACTTCTGTGTTCACAGCGTTGACTTGAGCCTTACTTTGATCTTAACACAATGACACGTTGACTAGAAGTTGAAAAGTTCCTTGAGCACGTTCAACAATGCTAACTAATACAAAGGATAATAGATTTCTTTGTCTGTAAATCATACGTAAGCAGGTATATTCGCGGCAAAAAACCACAAATACTATAAGATAATAATGCAAACGAAACTAAAAGGGTTCGAAAGGAAATATGAAAAACCAGGAAATATTTGGCAGTAACGCTAAGGGATGGTATGACAGGCCTTCCCTGGAAGGGAGATCATCCCCCCTTACCATCGAACAAGTCAGGGAGCATGAAGCAACTTGAAACTCTAGTGAAACGACTGAAGAGGGCTGGACAACTAGATGACTACTATGCTATCAATAAAGAACAACTTCAAGAAGGAATTATAGAAGAAGCACCACTGGCTGCGACTGGGCGAGAGTTCTACATCCTCAACAAAGGTGTTGTGAGTGAGAGTGCCGAATGCACGAAGATGCGAATCATGTATGATGCTTCGGCAAAAGCATATGACTCAGCACCTTCCTTAAACGACTGCCTTGAAGTTGGACCAGTTGTAGTGAAGCTGCATTGAAAGGCCAGAGTAATGTAATGTTTTGTAAAAATGCAGTTGGAGATGGTCTTGGCTCACACCACTAGCAATTTTTCTGGACATGTCATCTACATCTGTCTTGTATTTTTTTCTTTTTCTATATCATTCAGCTCCATCATTAGGGCTGAACTTCAAAGGTTTTCTTGTAGACCTGGCATCTCTAAATCACCTGAGTGGAATGTGCAAAGCCCCTGTAGCAATTTCTCAAAAGCTTCCTAAAACACTATGGTTTCTGAATCACGCGTAGCTGTTTTGGGAAGAATTCCAAGGTACGAATCAATAGCAAAATTACTCAAGTAATTATCCTTATCCTTCTGATGGCCACCATGGGGAGTACTCAAATCACTACTAACAACAAGTGGACTTCTCCAAACTTTACTGAACCATCAACCATTGCATTGACTATTGCATTTAGATGGAGTGCAAACTCATTGGCTTCTGTTTTCTCTAATTTAGCTGAGGTATTCTTGTCAAGGCCACACTGTAACATCTAGCTTTCCATTTGTGCTTCTTTTCACCGCTGCTGGGCCAATAACATGGGCATACAAATCCATCTCCGTTTGTAAGGGTCATCCAAACTCACAAGATTGTGGGGATCTAGTATTCTGACATCACGTAGGAAAGTACTGCCAGGTCGTCCCCTGCCCTCATCTGTGTACTTCTCTAGCTTCTTGTAAGCTTCGCGAAATGCTGACCTAAAATGGAAATTTCAAACTGATATTTCTTTTTACATCATTTGGCTGTTTTAGTCGTAGCCATAGGCCTATGGTTGCCCAAAACAAGTTTTACAAGTACTTATTTATGATTTTCCTTATTAAAAAAGAGATGCAAGTTTTTTGTCTTGCTTGCAAGTTTTGTCTTCACTGGATACGTGCATGCAAATGTTATTCAACTGACAGTGTGAGCAACATCAGACTGACTGACTGAAGCTGTGTGCCCTTATGGATCGGGCCACCATTGACTACACGGGAGAGAAGAAATTTGAGTGTATTAATGAGTCAAAGGAGTCAATGAGTCAGGTCTGAAAAAAAAATTTCTGTGGAAACAATAAAATTAAGCATTACGTTTACTTATTTTGTCTAGTTGTTTTATTGCTGCCTGCACAAGGCAGCTAGTTGCCTATAAAATCACAACCTGGGCTGTTTGTTAGTAGTTCCCAGGCCCTGCCATGTAGCACCTGATCAGAAGCAAAAAATATGGCGGCCTAGATGTTGTGACTGCTACGGAAGAAAGTCTTTAATTCCCTTTGAACACAGCGCTTAAAGTAAATTGAGT